CTATCTATCTATCTATCTATCTATCTATCTATCTATCTATCTATCTATCTATCTACCTATTTATCTATCTATCTACCTATCTATCTATCTATCTCGGATAAGGGCGAACAAATCTCGGAGGTCCCATGTGCAGGTTGCGCACGTAAAAGCTTCCTGGGTGGTCCATCCAAAACTCGACATGACAAGAGTAGTTCAGCAGCAGGCTTCCTGCTTCACCCGGGGAAAATTCGAAATTAATTCCCACCAAAAAAACTGAATACGCTTAATGTGTCTCGCGCGCTCATAATTATGACTTTATGCAGTTGCGAGCGCTGTAATACGTTTATATCGGAAGAAAAATGGAAAGGAACGGGATTGTTTCAATGATTGCGACCTTGGTCGGGTTTCAATGGTTGAGATTGTGAGCTAGGTCGGATTTCAATGATTGAGATTACGACCAAGGTCGGGTTACAATGATTGCGACCTAGGTCGTGTTACAATGATGTGACCTAGGTCGGGTTACAATGATTGCGACATAGCTAGGTCGGGTTTCAATGATTGTGACCTAGGTCGGGGTTAAGGTCAGTGGAGAGTGCAACAACAACAACAACAACAACAATATCCCGTCACCTCTTGTCATGCCCTTGTCTAATCTGGGTGGTTGGTGGGTGCCCTTGTCTAATCTCCCACTTTCCCTGTCGCAGATAACGGTGTGGGTGTTTGGTGGGTGCGACCAGGGCGTGTTTGTGTCATTCGTCCCCGTGTTTTTCACCGCAGTGTCCTCCTTAGGCGGCACCGTGGGCCCCCTGCACATAGATCTATACGTCCCAAACTGCCGATATTACATCGGAATGGAAAGGCAAACCTGGCGGGTGGGTCGTTGGCGGGTGCTCTGGTGCGGTTTGCTTCTTCTTTCCTATCAAACACCTATCGTCGTTATCTCTCCTCCTTTTTATGTTTGTTACTCTCTTGTAACACCTCCAATCTTCTGGCGCTCATATATATATGACCTTATGCCGTTGCGAGCGCCGTAAAACCTCTACTAAAACTGAAACTAAAAAACCTGGCGGCAGAACCTCAGATGTGGAGGAAAAACTACCAGAAAAAAAAAAGAAACGGGGAGGCCGGACCTGCGGTTTCTACCTGTTTGGATTTTCCAACGACAGTTCGGCGCGTGTGACGTCACGGAGAGTGTGTGTGTCGCGTTATATCAGCGGCCCCGGTCCTTCGTCTGTGAGTGGGGAA